GAAAGCCGTCGCTGAGAGGATGCTCGCTGAGCTTTGAACGCAGTGCAGCCTCTCCTGGCCAGGCTTAAGGGGTTTGGCTGCATTGCTGAGGGTGGGCAGCACGGCTGTACCTGCAGGGCTCTGTGCACCGTCCCTTCCCTAGCACACTGACCCCTCTTCTCTCTGTGGTTTTTATTTTGAGTTGAGCGGTGAACCAAAGGCAGGACCTGCCAGCAGCTGTAGCCCCACACTAAATCACTGATTAACCGCAGCCGCCCGGCGGATGGGTTGTTTATTAAATGAGTCATGGCTAATTGTGATGACAGCTGTGTGGGGTCCCGGCCTGGCGTGGGCTCTGGGGCTGTGAGCTCTCATGGGATCAGGGCTGTGGCTGTCCTGCCCTGAGCACAGAGCTGTGAGCCCCAGCCCTGCCAGGAGGGGCTCCTGCGTTGGGGTTCTGGCCCTGCATGGATGCAGCGTGGATCAGGACCAGCTCTGAAGTGAGCTTATTTGCAGTGGGTGTGTTTGGGTCTCTGTGCCAGGACGACTGCTGCTGAGATGTTCCAAGAAGTCCCTCGTGGGCTCTCCTGATGCTGCTCTGCTCACGCAGTCCTGGGCCAGGCCCTGGGTGGAGGGAAGGTCTGCGGGTGCTGGGAGCTGCAGGGCAGCCTCATGCTGCTCCAATGGCCCCCAGAGCCCCACGGGGCAGCACTGCTGGTGGGGTTGGCTGGAACGGCTCCCCGGCCTCTTCCTCCTGCAGAGCTGCAGGGCAGCACTGAAGCACCTGAGCCTGTGGCTGTTGGAAGGGCTGTCTGTGCAGGACTTGTGCCCCAGTGATTGTTCATGTAACTGGCAGATAGTTTGGGAAGCAGATGCTTTTTTTTTTTGAGAAGCTGGAAGAAACATGTCAGCGAGGGAGCAGCTGATGGTTTCCAGCCTTTGTAGTTGTCAGTGAGCGCTGTGAGACCAGCCATCGACAGGCTGGGTGTGGGTGTTGCTTATTAGGAAAAATTTCAGGTTGGATATTAGGAACAAATTATTATCCAGAGGGCAGTCGGCACTGGCACAGCTACCAGGAAGTGGGAGGCACTGCTCCAAAGTGCTCCAGAGCTGTGGGGATGTGGCACTGGGGGACACGGTCTGTGGGCATGGCGCTGGGGTTGGACTTAAGGATCTGAGAGGTCTTTTCCAACCTCCGTGGTTCTGCGGTTGGTGTAGCCAGATGAGGGATACTTGTGTGGGGGTGAGCAGTGTTCCTTGTGGAGAAGCAGCAGGGTGAGGGCAGTTGGTGTGGAATTAGCCCCTGCACTGCCAGGAGCCTCCTGTGCTGGGGCTGCTTGGCCCCATCCAGCTGAGCTGCCTGCTCCCTGTGGCGGGGAAGGAAGGGGCAGGCGGTGTGGTTCCTGTTGTTAAGTGAGCATTAAATATAGATTATTAAGCAATTTTCTTCAGAGGAAGTGTAGCAACTCCGCTGCAAGCATGCACAGTGTTTGGGCAGGGTGAGCACTGAGCCTGCTGTGCTGTGTGCAGCCAGCCCCAAACAGACCCGTGCTTCTGCCCTGTGCAGCAATGCGGTGTTTCCTGGTAGGAACCTGGTGCTGCCCTGCAGGAGCTCTGCCTGCTGCCTCCATGTGTCACAGGGTCGGGATGGGACTTTCCTTGTGCTGGGGGTGGAGTTGTGAAATCAGTTTCTACGTTCTATAAATTCCCTTCTGCAGTATTTCCACATGTCTTGGGGAGGGGCTTTGTGTTTAGGAAGCAGGCACTCCAGTCCCCAGGTGGTAACAGAAGCCGCTTTGCATAAGGATGGTGTGGACGATTCTTCAGGATGGTGGGGGTGAGGAGGTGGCACCGGGGAGCAGAGATGAGTGGGGGGCAGCACCAGGGACCCCCAGGCTGGAGGGCTGCTGCCTGCTGTGCTTTTGGCCTCTGCGAGCTTTGGAAGGAGCTCTGCAGGCAGAGATGAGCTGAGCTGTTCACGACCTGCCCTTGGCAGCTGTGCCTCTGAGGATGCTGGCAGCCTTGCTGGCGGGACCTGGGCACGCAGGGCTTGGTGCCGCTCACAGGGCTGCGGGGAATGATGGACGTGGCTGGGGATCCCTGCTGAGGTCCTGGCTGGGGCCACGTGCCCCACGCATAGCTTCTGGATACCCACGGGCTCTTCCCTGTCGCTTGGAGCTTGCCGTAGCCTGCCATTGGGATGGGGCTGCTGCAGCCCTCCCAGCCTGCCCACGGCCCTGTCTTCTGCACTGCATCAGCAGGGTCACCACCATCTCCTTCCTTGCCGCCCATCCCCAGCTGCCTGCAGCTTTCTCCCATTCTGGCACCCTGTGTGAGCTGTAACCCTCTTCCAGGAAGGGCAGAGTTCTCAGGGAGTGGAGCGCTACTGTAGCTGTTCCCGTAAATGTTTCAGCTGGTAACCCTATATTGCAGTAACAAGCCAATACATCACTTTTTAAAGGGCATTTTATTTGGATTGCTTGTTGCCATAGTTACGCAGCTGGACCTCCAGCACACAGTGCCTGTGCCTGCTTCCTGTCAAGTTGGCTTTGCTAAGGAATTGCGGTGCTGCCATCAGCACAGCCTGTCCTGAACACTCAGGATGGGGATGGAGAAGGGAGAGGAACCCGCAGCAGATGAGGGAGAATGTGGGGCAGGAGCTGCCCTTCTGCAGGGCATGGAGAGGACAGAAAGATGGAGAACTTTGGTGACTTGGTCCTGTGTCATTTTAGCACGGTGCGTAGCTGACTGCAGTGACCCATATTGGCAGCCCAGGTGTGTGCCCGGCTGAGGCAGGACAGAGGGGTTGGGATGAACTCCAGGAGACTCAGCAACGTGCCGTGCATTTGCTGTTCACAACTCCTCTTCTTCTCAGGTGAATGTTGCACTTGCTTTCTGATTGCTTGTGTTGTGCCAGAAAGAAGCCTCAAAGGAGAGGGGAGTCCTGCTGCGGCGCTGGATTTTATTGCTTTGGTCTGCCTGCTGGCATACAGAAAGCACTGCGTGGAACCATGGCAGATTTTTGATGTGAGGACATGTGCTGTGTGCCTGCCTCGCTCCTGGGGTCTTTGAAGAAGCTGTGTTTTGGCAGCTGGGGTTTACTTAGAAGTGCTGATGTGAGGAGCAGAGCATATAGCTGAGCTCCCTGCCCCACACTGCAGGGGGTGTTTGTGGGTGCAAGAAAGGTTCAAGTGCTGAGCAGCAATGGGGTCGTGTGCCAGCATCTTTTGTAGGGAGCCTGCTGGCAGAATTTGGGTTTGGTGAAGCTGTGGCTGGGCTGCCAGGGGCATCCCTGCGGGTGCTGGGCCTCCCTGCTGCTCTCTGAGCCCGTGGGGAATGGCCATGGCAGGACCAGCCCCTGGCGGTGCCCGCACCCCTGGCCAGCTGCACTGCTCGGTCTGTGGGGTTTTTCTGCCTTTGTGGTGGTGGTTTTACCTCATTTTTTGGTCAGCTGACAAAGCCAGACAGAGAAGTTGGAGGCAGAACGTGTGCAGGCTAGGTTTGACTCATGTGCGTGGGGAGCTGCGGGATTTTGCTCACGCATGAGGGAGGGCAGAAGTTTCTCTGCAGTTTTTGCAGGATTTGGTTTGCTCTCATGCCTGGGGAGAAAACAGGCATGAGTCAACCCTTCCCTCCCAGCACGCTGCTGCCGTGCTCGTGCTCCTTACACAGGAGGAGTTTTCCCCAAAATTACGATGGGCAGTGGGATGTGAGGTGTGCCAGTGGGGTCTGGGCCCCTGGGTGCTGCCCAGCTCCATTTCTGACCAAGCTCAATGCTGTTTTTAGCAGCTGCTGTTGTGTCACTCAGTGGGCGGCTGGGAGTGACTTTCCTTTATCGCTGCAGTACTGGGGGTTATCTCCTCTCTTGGCCTCTCCCATGCCTATTTATAAGTGCTGTAGACCAGTGCAAAAACGTCTTGGGTTTGGGTTGCCCCTGCCTGGCCTGCGGTGGGGAGACAGCGGCCTTGGTCGGGGTGTCTGCAGCCCAAGTGTGGCCAGGGTCAGCATGGAGCCAGCAGAGAGGAAATGGCTCCTTGAGTCATTAGCGTCATCTCCTCGTTAACATCCCCCTCCTTACCATACCAGAGGAGCAGGAGGCTGTTCTGCGCCAGGCTGAAGCCTCTGAGCTTCCCTGGGGCAAAGCTGGGTGCTGTGCTGGGGGTGCTGCTGCACATCCTGGGCTGTGCAGGTGCTGCCCTCTGACACTGTGGTGTCAGCATCAATCTGGAGGGCTGGGGGCAAACCTAGCACCCCCGGTCACTCCTGCAGCACCCCCAAGCACTGCACCCTGCTGTCCATTCCTCATTCCTCTGTGGTCCTGCTGCATTAGGAGCACGTTGTGCTGGGTGCAGCTTTACTCCTGGGCTGAGTTGCAGGCAGGATTAGCCCTGGGGATAGAAGCAGGTGCTGGGAGAGCAGCTTTAGTGCTTGAAGAAAGCTTTCAGCTCCTTCCTTCCACCACAAAAGCAGAATGCTTGAATTCTTCCACAGCTCTTGCTTGGTGTTCAGTGCCTGGGAGGAGCAGTCTGTGTGAACGCACGTTTTCATTCTCTGCACGGAAAGCGAAAAGCTCCCTGGATGTTGAGAACACTGAATGAAACGCATGGGGAATTTGGGGAATTTAGCACGGTTGGGGTCCCTGTGCTGCTTCAGAACAAGTTCCTGTCAGGCCTGTAGCTTTGTGGTTCCTGGGGATGTGTGTGCAGGGTCATGGGGCCAGTTCGAAAAGCCAAGCCTGGATCCGCTCAGGTCATCTTGAGTAATAACTTAATAGGATTCGGCTCTTGGAGAGAGTCTGTGACTTGTAAAGCAGTCGTTCTCTGCAGCAGCGCCTGTAAACAGAGCTGTGCTGCAGCAGGGCTCGCTCTCTGGGGCACTGTGGAGCCGTGGGCCCTCACCTCCGGTGCCTGCCCTGCATGGAGGGCCCTTGGTGTAACCTTCCCAGGGGGGCTGGTGGGACCCTGTGCCGGGTGGTGCTGCTGCCCGCTCCCATGCTGACGTCTGCATTTCTCCTCTCACAGATCTGTCGTCGGCCAAGCGCAAGTTTGCGGATTCCCTCAATGAATTTAAGTTCCGCTGCATCGGCGATGCTGAAACAGACGATGAGATCTGCATAGGTGAGAGCTGACGGTGGGTTGGTGGGGGCTCTGATGGTGCTGCCAACCCCAAGCAGAGCAGTGCATGCGTAGGGACGAACACGGACATGGGGGGACCCAGAGGTTCGCCATTCCCTGCTCTCTGGAAGCAGTGCATTTCTCCTTGTTCATCAACTTCAGAGCCTTCACTAGGAGAGAAGTTGTAGCTTCTCGCCTGAAGTCTGCCTCTACCAGAGAAAGAAAGGAGGAAGACTCCTTCCTAGATATGGAAGGCCATATCTAGAAACCATCTAGATTATTATATGCCCTTTCACATGTGAGGGCAAGGATCTGGAGATGTAGTCATGGCTAGAGGCACCGCCAGTGGCTGTGGTCTGCAGGAGGGGAGCACAGCTTGGCCACATGCCTGCAGGATGTCCAGGCAGCCACTGCAGGGCTGTGGGTGAGCGCTCAGAGGGCGATGCTGTGAGGGTCTGGCAGGACTGCGTCCAGCATCTCCCAGTGCTAGGGGACAGCTTCACCTGCTTTGTTCAATGTTACCCTGTTTCTGCCTGGGCTGGACTTTCAGAGTTCATTGCGCATGTATGTAGTCTGGAGCCAACAGAGCACATGAGATTTAGTCCTGATTTTCTTGCTGATTTGTGCTGGTCTCTTGGCCAAAATAGCTTTCTTATGCAAGTGAGGCTCTGTCTCAAGTGCACACACCGTGCCTGCTGTGTTTGAGTGTTATTTCCCTGGACATTTGGGACAGGCCCCTTGCTCCTTGATGCCCATAGCAGCCAGCCTGCCATAGGAGCTGCTGGGCAGCAGGAGCCAGCCTGAGCAGCAATGAGTGCTAGAAATGTGATGCTCTGGCTACTTGCATGTCCAGAATTAAAAGAGAAAATGCTGTTAAATTCTGAAACTGTCCACATGTGTCCCTTACAGCCAAGTCTCTGCAGGAGTTTGCCACAGTGCTGCGGAACCTGGAGGATGAGCGGATGCGGATGGTATGGACTTGGGAGTGGGGAGCCTGGGGATGGAGAGTGGGTCTGATAGCAGCACTTCAGCTGCCTTCAGGCCACTGATCTGATGTGCAGCTGGAGGAAGGTGAAGTGTGTGTGTTCCAGTGGGTGGTGATGGCAGTTTGTAGGGAGGGATCCTTGGTACAGCAGCCCCAGTGCTGGTGTGTCTGCAGGGACTGAGCAGAGAGAGGTGGTCAGCAGCACAGCTCTCAGCTCTGAGTGGGACACAGTGCCCACGTGCACAGTGCTGCCCAGCTGGGGACCACAGGGTGCCTCTGTGTCCAACAGATTGAGAACGCCAGCGAGGTGCTGATCACACCGCTGGAGAAGTTCCGCAAGGAGCAGATTGGTGCTGCTAAGGTAGGTGGCTTTGGCCTCGCATCGCTGTTGGGTCTGTGAGCCTCTGCATGGCTCGGGGCAGTGCTCAGAGCTGCCTGGTGCTGTCTGGGATCTGATGTGCCACAGGGACAGGCTCTGCTGGCCCCGGGTGTGGGAGGGAGACAAGGACGATCCGGCTTACGTGAAGTGCCTTGGTGTTTCCTGGTTCACCCTCAAGCAAGTAATGCGCCAACACGAGCTGTTGACCAACAGTTAGATTTTTTCTTCCTCCAAACCAGAATTAACGTTTTGCAAGGTGAATCCTCAGTCTCTGAACTCTCAGTCAGCTGAAACCTTTCAGTTCTGCGCTCACCCGGCCCCAGTGCATTGGAGATCTGGGCATCGTCTGGCAGGGCGAACCCAGGAACACACCCATGTGTCCCAGGCTGCTGTGGGACAGCCTGTCCCTGCCCGCCTTTCTTTCCTGCCTTTGTTCTGGAATTCGAAGCACTGCCCGTGGCTCTGCTGTTGTTATAACAGCCTGCTGCTGACAGCAGGGAGCACGTGCCAGCCAGCGAGGCTGTTTGCATTGCAGTGGTGTGTCCTGTCCCAAGGTTGCTCTGGTTTGACTTGTGCAGCCAGAGAAGAAAAACCTCCAGGGGAATCCTACAGAAGAAGCACTGGCTATTGATGTGCTGGGTTCTGTCGGTACACGGGGCCTTGCTGCCTTTGAGGCACTGGTTGGATGTCCCCTGGCCGGGCAACCTGGGAGTGCAGCTCTGCACGATGCTGCTTTTAGTCCAGGAGTCAGCCCAGCTGTTCCCTCTGTGCCCTGGTGCTGGTGTGTTTGGGGCTGCAGTGTTCTGCATGGCTGTCTGTGAGTGCTGACAGCTCTGCATGTTGTAGAGGGCTGCTGTCCTGCCCCACACAGGGCTGTGGGCTGGGTGCTGCTGCCCGTCCCTCTGCAGCACCTCGTGGCTGCCAGTCCAGCATCCATCAGTGCCTTGGAGCTGTGCACAGCTGGGTAATGAGAAGCAGATGAGGGAGCTGCTCCCTGCTGCTGCCTCCCTTCCCTGTCCAACTTGGGCTCTTCAAAGCGTGTCTGTTCTGGGTGTGGCTTTAGGGCTGCTATCAGTTTTTGGAACAAACTTTAAACAAAGCCAGCTGCGTGGCCTTGCACGGGCATCTCTGAGCAGAGGGTTAAGGGCAGGAAGCTGAATGCTGGGCTGGGGGCTGTGCTCCCATGTGGGTCCCATGGGCATGCTGCTGGGTCTCCTCGGCTGTTGTGGTGCTGCTGGATCCAGGCTCACACTGTTCTGTTCTGCAGGATGCCAAGAAGAAATATGACAAGGAGACTGAGAAGTACTGTGGTGTCCTAGAAAAGCACTTAAACTTGTCTTCTAAGAAGAAGGAATCCCAGCTCCAGGAGGTGAGAGCAACCTCGAATTTTCAGTGTCTAGCAGTAACTGCATTGAGGTTTTTGAGTATTTTCTGCATCTTCTAGTGTTGGTTTTCTTGGCTATAAGCTACTTTTTTTCCTGTGCTGACTCTGAGTGGCAGGTTTTTCCCTCTTCCTTTAATCAAAGGGGACAGAGCTGTTTTGGTGAGTAAGTCAGAGCGGTCCCAAAATGGATAGCAATAAAAAAGGATAGAGAGCTTGTAATTAAAGAGTGTAGCAGTAGGGGAACTGGTTCTGCTGCAGGCTTCCCATGTGCCATAACAAATCATGTACGTTTTTATTCTCCTTCTCTAGAAGTGGCTGCACTGGCTTTGAGCTTCGTGGGAAGAGTGATCAGGCTTAGTGCTTCTAAACTGCTTTTAGAGCCTGTTACTTGGGACGTAGTTTGCTGCTGTGCCAAATGCTCTTACTGGATGAGAACCCTGCTTTTGCAATCACTGCTCCCATGTCTGGAATTCCTGAGCTGCCCAGGGCTGGGGCAGGCGCTGCGCTGCTGGGCAGAGTGCTGGCATGTCACCGGGGGCTCGGTGGGCACAGTGATGATCTCTGCACTGGGGCAGCTCAGCTGTTTGTGGCCCAACTGTGTGCGGATCCCATCTGTCTCAAGAGAGCAGAGTGGTACGGCTGTGGCACGGAGTCATCTTCCACCAAATCAGGGCTGCAGAGGGGTCTGCATCTGGGCTGACGTGCCTGGCTGTCCTCGCAGGGATGTTCTGGGTCTGTGAGCGCTTTGCTTCGTGGCAGCATCCCTACATCCCAGCAGGTGCAGAGCTCCGCTCTTGTGGCTCTTCAGTAACCTTTTAAACCCATATTCTGGTTCATGTTTAAAATTCTATGGCGAGATACTGGAGTGGAAGGATTTCTTTGTGGAGAAGGAGCTACTTGTGGCTGCAGCAGCGTTTTACGGAGCTGTGATGTCATGTCCTGCCCAGGGTATGGGAGCAATATATGGGAGCAATACAGGAGCCAGGGCAGCTAAGTGTGGGGTGTTGGTGTGCTGTACCACGCAGATGCTGTGTGTGGTGCTGTGCCATGCAGAATGCTGGCTGCGTGTGCTGTGCTGTGCTGGTGTATTTAGCAGCGCTGGATGCTGGTGCCATCTGCTGGCATCTTCCACCTCGCACTTCGACTTTTGCTACAAAAGCTGGAACCAGCTGCTGCTGCTCCTGGGTTCAGGAGTTGGGATCTTTCTCGCCTGAGACATTACAAAAAGCAGTTATGGCAGATGTCCTCAGGAAGGATGCTGATGAAATGGTAATGATTTAGGAAAACCAACGCCAGCTGATTATTAGCAGCCTGAAGCTGTCTTAGACACCCTGACAGCCAGAGAGGAGAGTTTGTGTCAGGGCAGTTTGGTGTTTTATGTTTCCTAATCTCTTCCTGCTGTCCACATCTGGAAGGTGGTGGTGGCCGCATGCGTGACTGCTGCAGCAAAGCAAGAAGAGAAGGAAACCATGGGAATTCTCTGCTGCTCTGGCTGCTGACCAATTAAATAACACCCTGAGTCTAATCTGTTGTTTAACTCCTGGCAAAGTTCTTTTGTCGCATCACATTTAGTGCTCAGTTTGCTGAAAACTCAGCCTCTTCACCACAGACACCCAGCACAAGTGCTTCAGGCAGGTCTTGGGGAAAATGTTCCACTCTATGGCCGTGTCCTATGGAAAATCAGGAGTGAGCTGGGGAAGGAGGGGGGGATGCCTGTGTTCCTTACCCTGCTATCAGTGCAGCGGCTCTGCTCCAGCGCACAGTGAGGCCCTTCTGTTGGGGAATATCCCAAATTCTGCTCCCTTCTGCTTTCTCTCCCAAGCAGAGGGCATGTGCTGTCCCCTGGCCCGGCACAGGAGCAGCCCTCACTGGTGGCATGGTGGGATGTTGTGTCACTGCCTGGAGCCCACGGTGCTGCTGGCAGCCTCTCGATGCACTGCTTTCCAGAAAGTGCAGAATTGCCTTTCGTTGTCAAGTATGCAGCAACTTCTCCTTTCTCCCACTTTTAATTCGTGCTCTTCTACCCAGCTGTCAGGGAGGTGTGAACGTGAGTCATCGAAAACGCTTTTTTTCAGCTGAAGAAGGAGCCTGTTCATGTGAATCAGGTTTCTATTTAATCGCTGTGCCATCTGGCCAGCCCCAGACTGATGTCTGAAGCTGAGTTAGCATCCCACGTGGATGCACCCCCATCAGCCCCTGCTGTCCCGTGCCATGGGGCTGGCTGCTCCCAGCCACGCTGACCTCGTGTTTCCTCTTTCATCTCCTGGTGCCTGCAGGCAGACAGCCAGGTGGACCTGGTTCGGCAGCATTTCTACGAGGTCTCCCTGGAGTATGTCTTCAAGGTGCAGGAGGTCCAGGAGAGGAAGATGTTTGAGTTTGTGGAGCCTGTAAGTGAACCCAACCCTTTTCATCCCACAAAACTGCTTGAGGGATGTGTTACTGTGTGAGGGCTGACGGGGAGCCAGGCTGGGGCATGGGGTGTCCCTGCATCCCTGTTACTGTAGGGCAGGTTTGGGGGCAGGGGCAGGACATGTGCTTAGGAAAAGCCCTTGGTGTGGGGCTCAGCCCCAGACACACAAAGCGTTTCTTTGTATGTATTGTGGGCATTTCTATTGTGATGGACTGGGCTGTGGGGCCTGCTGACAGCTGCAAAGGGAATGGGCTCAAGTGGGAGCAAAAAACTAGAAGCTGGAGAGACTGTAACTTTCAGGGGAAAAGAGTGCAGGATTGACAGAACGAGAAAAGAATTAAGCTTTGTAGGACCTGCCTTTTGCTCACTGCTAAGTCCTCTACTGCTCCTCCAGGAATCATAGAACATCTTGGGTTGCAAGGGACCCCAAGGATTGTCAAGTTCCAACCCTCCTGCCACAGGCAGGGCTGCCAGCCACTAGATAAGCACTGGATCAGGCTGCCCAGGGCCCCATCTGACCTGGCTTTTCTCACCTTCGAGGTTGGGGCATCCACAGCCTCTCTGGACCGCCTGTGCCAGCACCTCACCACTCCCTCTGTAAAGAATTTCCCCCTGACATCTAATCTAAACATCCCTTCCTTTAGATTAAAGCCATTCTCCCTTAACTTATTATTATCTACCCGTGAAAAATACATGGTAAGAGTCAAAACCTCCTCTGCTGTTTGCAAGGAGTCATTCCTACTGAATGAAGAATAGCTCCAAGTCCAGAGAAACATGACCAGGCTGTGACTGCCTGGCTTGGTGCCACATCTCAGCTCCCAGTGCAGGAGGGGGGTGGAATTTGAGTATCAGTTGGGTCATTGGGGTTGATTGAAGCAGGAGGACAAAGTGGGCTGGAAGAGAGGGCTGCACTGACGGTCTTGATTCGTTTTGCCCCAACGCAGCTGCTGGCCTTTCTGCAAGGGCTTTTCACCTTCTACCACCACGGCTATGAGCTTGCAAAGGACTTCAGTGACTTCAAGACAGAGCTGACCATCAGCATCCAGAATGTAAGTGTTTGTGTTGCTGTGCCTGTCTGGCAAAGAAAACTCGCACACACTTTGGTAGGTTTAAATTGAGATGGTTTCTCTCTTTTTGTGTGTGTGTGTGCCCTCAAGCAAAGGGCTTGACAGTGTAATTGAAGCAAATTCTTTGTTATAAATAACGCTGTGCCACGCACACAGTCTGAGTGGCAGTTCTGCACAGTGTCTCAGCCTTCGCATGGGTGCTGCAGGGTTGTTCCTGTTTTGATTTGCAGACGAGGAATCGCTTTGAAGGAACGAGGTCGGAGGTTGAATCGCTGATGAAGAAGATGAAGGAGAATCCTCACGAGCACAAAAACATCAGTCCTTATACCATGGAGGGGTATCTCTACGTCCAGGAGAAACGTAGGTGCTGAGGGCAATGTGGGGTGTGGGTGCTGGGGGACACTGCTGGGACACAGAGGCAAATTTGTCAGAATGCAGAATGTGGGAGGGCACTGGCCCTGCGGTGGGCTGTTGTGGCATCAGTCAGTGCTTGGGGAGTCTGCTTCCTCTTTCGCCTGAACGAGAAGGGCTAGCAGTGCTTGTGCCACCTGTAAAGTACAACAGGAATCGTGGATAGAGAAACGTGTCGTGTTAAACGATGGTTAAACTTACAGCTTAATAATGGGTGTGCATTGAAGCTCTACTGGTTCCGGGGGTAAAAACTGCGTTTGCTTTGCAGGTCACTTTGGGACCTCCTGGGTGAAGCATTACTGCACGTACCAGCGGGAATCCAAGCGGATAACCATGGTGCCATTTGACCAGAAATCTGGAGGAAAAGGGGTGAGTGTCTCTGCAGGGCCCTGGGCAGAGCTACAGGCTGCTCGGGCTGAGCCAACCTCAGCAGTGGGACGCTGACACCAGCAGGTGGCTCACCTTCACTTCAGCTGAGTGAGTGCCACACGATGGATGAGCTCTGCACCTTGCTCAAAAAAAAACATCTCCAGCAGATGTCTGGGAGCTGTCGGCTGCCCTGGCAGCACTGCTGGTTTCCCGATTGTTTGGAGCCCCTCAGACACAGCTCTGTTTCATGCTCCACTCTCTGTTCTGGTGTCTGCATGCAGCTATCTGTAAGGACAAGTTTACAGCAGCTGCCTGTAGTCACAGACCGGCCTTTCTCCTCTTGTCTTAGATCTGTCCTTGATTTATTTCTGTTTGTGAAAGGAGAAAGCTTTACAAACTGAAGCCTGTGCAGCTGCACACTGGTCCTGCTCAGGTTGTTCTGACCACATGGGATGTGCAGCGTGCTGAGCATCTTGTCTGTGTGCTGGGTGCCCTGCAGTCTGTTAGTGCCAACCGGTGCACCGTTGGTGCAGCGTAAAGAGATGGGTAAAGAGATGGCTCTGCCTGCTCTTGGGCTCTCGAGCACTCCTGGGGCTGCAGCTGGCATCAGATGGTGGTTCCAGGGCAGGGCAGTTCCTGAATACAGAGTGCTGAGCCAGGCTGATGAGCTGCAGGGTGCAGGCGGCCCCCCAGGAGCAGCCCTGCAGAAACCGTTCAGATCTGTCTTCCTGGGTCCCTGCTGTGGCCCTAAATAGGTTTCCTGGAAAATGATGATGTCAGGGAACAGGGTGGTCAGCCAAGGTGTCAGCTGGAACAGCACAGAGTGCACAGAAAAGTGGCTGTCTCCAGGAACTCGCTCAGAATTTGCCTTGTATTGAGTCATCAAGGGATTTTAAAAATTGCAGGAGAATTTTGTGTGCTGGCAGAGTCTGGGCAGGGGTTTCCTCCAGCAGAGGACAGCAGTGTGTGCAGATCCTGCCTGACCACTGCTCGGCGTGGGGAAATCCAGTACTTGGATGCAGATGCCTGGATGGGAGAATGCTTTTGTCATTGCTTTGTCAAATAATAAACATAATCATATCTTAAGGCATACTTGCTCCTGTTAAGAGTTTCTGTGTGAAGAATGCTGCCAAATATGCAGCCAGTGCCAGAGTGAAAATTGACAGCCAAGGTTATGATGCATTGTTCAGCAATGGAAAATAAAACTTTGCCCAATAATTGTGGTCCAGCACTCCCTGCCTGCCTGAAACATGGGTTGTACGATACTCAGTGCATAAATGTAGTCTGCATTCAGAAAGGATGGTTTCTTGGTTTTGGCCTAAGCATTTTGGATATTTGTTAATGCATTTCTAGCAGGTGGTGAGTGGCTGATGTTGCCAAACAGCCCCTCTGGTTTGAACGCACTGGTTGGAGCCTGGGGGCAGGCATGTATGGAGGGGTTGTTCTCCTCCTTATCTGTGATTTTGTCTCTTCTCAGGGAGAGGATGAAGCCGTTATCCTGAAATCTTGCACACGACGGAAAACCGACTCCATTGAGAAGAGGTTCTGCTTTGATGTGGAAGCCGTGGATCGGTGAGTGCAGGGGCAGGAGGCTTTCCTGGCTGCTGCCCGGGTGGATTTGGTGTTTGCCTTCTGCTCTAGTCGTGCCATTTGTGGCTGGGAAGCATTAGTCCATGGGAACACGCTTCCCCTGCTGTTCCTGGCCAGGTGATTGCAGGATGTTGAGTCAGTGCTTCGTTTTACAAGGTACCGAGTTTACTTTAGGCTCTCAGAACTGAATGGTGTTGTAGCATTTTTGCAGGCTCTGGGCATGTGAGCTAAATGGTCACGAGTGTGGCAAAGTCGCTGCATGTGTTTTGGGAGGAATGGGATGCCTCTTTCCTGCATGGGTTCTGTGCTGAAAGAACTTCAGCTCTTGTGATGCTCTGCTGTAGACGTCAATGATGGAAATCCAGCTTGCGTCTTTGGGCACTCTAAATTCACATCTTTTTTCCTGAAGTTATAAAATGCTTCCTGGCCTGATTTTCCTTTGAGCAGCTGAACCAGACATACATCTGTATTCAGTCTGTAGCACTAGGAATGAGAGCCTTGTCACTGCGTTGAACTAGTATCACACGTGTGCTGTATACACACAGGAGAGCCAGGCTGAGCTGCTGTTCTGAGCAGCCTTTGTTGGTCACTGCCTCGTGTTTTCCTCTCTGCAGGAAGTTACGTGCTTTACAAAAGGCCCTTTGCTGGCTGTAGTGTAAATGCAAGGAGGTCTCCCCCATAAGAACTCAAGTTCAGCAGAACTCAAGGTGCTGGTGGTGCTGGCTGCGTTTCCTGGGCATCTGTCAATTCATCCATGCGTGCCCAGCCCTTCGTGGTGGGGACGCTGAGAGCAGATGGGTTTGGGATGGTCTTGTAGCTGCTGCTCGCTCTCTGTGGCTCTGCTTTCCTCCAGAAAGCTGCAGGATTTCTGCTGACGTTGGCATTTTTTCCCTCTGCTCTAAGGGGAAGTGTTGGTTTTTTTTTTTTAAATGTGAAAATCAAAATAAACCCGGGAGGAGGAGAAGCCAGCCGCCACAATAGCTTTCTTCTGTCGTGCTTTCAGAGCCAGCCGAACCTCCCCTTGATGTCTGCAGCCTGCTGGGCACAGGATCAAGAGCTGCTCCAGAAATATGCTGCTAAATGTAAATAATGGCAGGGGAGTGGCAACGCGGGGAAACCTGAGAAATTGCTCCTTTCACGTCCGCGTTCCCAATTCCCTGCCTGAGAGGGCTGTGAGAGCAGGAAGCGCGAACTGACGGGCTGCTTTTCCCCAGCAGACAGGCAGCTCTGTATGTTTTTGGTACCAGAATTTGTCCTGAGTGCTTCTGAGTAACAGCACCTTCTGCAACGGGTGAGCTGAGGGGAAGAGGAGGCAGAACTCTCTGCCAGTGTCCACCCCATCTCTGACCCACTCTGGAGCCGTGCCTGCGGGCCTGAAGTGTGGCTGTGGGCTTTGCTGGAGATCCCCCACTCCTGGCTGGCGCTCCCCGTTGGCCTCCCATGGGAAGCAGCATGTCGAGGAATGGCTTTCATGCCAGCCCAGGGCTGTGGGGGCTCGGCAGCATGTGGGTGCTGCCCCACAGCTGAGCTGTGTGGTGTGGGTGCTGGTAGGGACGGATGGGTGCTAGGCATGTGGTCTGTGCTGGTTTGGGTCGCCAGGAGGGGGGTTGGATAAGGCTGCACCCCGCTCCTCACACAGACCCAGCGATGGCATGGCTCTCACTGAGGGTGCTGCAGCACATCCGTGCCCGTTTTGCAGCATGGTTTGTGCTGTGGGCTCTTTGTCGCGGTCTGGTTGTGTTTTAGTTTTGGCTTGTGGACCTTTTGTTTTGTGGTTGGTTTTTTTTTAATTGTCTCTGCTAATAAAGAAGTTGGAAACTTGACGTCTTGTTCTTCAGCCCCACGCAGGAAGTCTGGATGTCATTAAGGCAAACAGATCCCCGGGATGCTCCTCTGTGTCACATATGTGCTGTGTTTTGACTGTGAGCAGTTTTCCCTCTTTCTTTTCTGTATGCAACTTCAAACTTACACACCATGGGGACCACGTGAGTCCGTGCCCTGCCCAGACTCTCCATGGGGCTTGTTTAATTGATGCTAAGCCGGCTGGGCACAGAGCAGCTTATCCCTGCTTCATTGTGTCTGGATGAGCCGTGGAGGGGCAGTGCTGTGGGTCAGGGTGACACTGCTGTGTGCTGCTGGGGGCTGTGCTGCACCTGTCCGTGGGGCCGAGGCCAGCGTGCCAAACCCAGCACGCAGCCATGCACGCCTGTAAGGCCGGAGCGCGTTGCGTGTTTCATTTAAGTATTTTTATCTCCCATTGCCATGAATTTTGGGTGGCTTTTCAAACTGTTGATCCCAGTTTGGGAAGGTGCTTTAGGGCTCTGGGGTGAAAGCAGGCTGTGGCTCAGCAGAGCCCTGCAGCCTGGAGGTGGCAGCCTTGGCTTTGCTTCCTTCGGTTGCACTCAGAGGCACAGACCTGGGCTCTTGGTGTGCTGGGGGCGGCATGCGGCGGGGCTGGGGGCTTGGGCTGCTTTGAATAATGTCCTGAGAAGCTGTTTGAATTGAAAGCTGATTGGAGAGGATGTGATTTTCTCCTCCAAGGATGATTTGGCGCCCCTGAACTGAACGCCTTGAGCCTGGTCTGTTATTACAGCATTGCTTCCTCTTCCTATTGTCTGACAGGAAGTCCAAAATTCCCAATATTGAAGGCAGAATCACAGAACTGTAGGGGTTGGAAGGGACCTCCGGAGATCATCGAGTCCAACCCCCTGCCAAAGCAGGTTCCCTACATCAAGTCACAATGTGTGATAGAGGCATTTTCTGGGAAGACTAAGAGCTCCCCAACCCTGCCTTTGCCAATAGTTCTGGGGCGGTTAGGAGTGTTGTAGCTTGTAGCTGAGAAGACACTAAATATTATATATATATATTTACTGTATATTTATATACTTTGTTATACCAAAACAGACCTCAGAATGGGGTTCCAGCATCTGGCTGAAATATTCCCTCATGTGATGGACAGTGTGGTTTGCTGGTAATGCCCTTTTTTCAAACTAAACTAATTTGGAGTCTCTGTGCATTAAGTCAGTTTTATAAACAAGGTAAGCAGGGATGTCAGCCAATGTCTTACCAAATGAGCCTCAGGAAGGGGAGGATCTCGTTTGGCTGATGACAGAGGCTTTGAAATTTAGGACAGTCCAGGTGGTTTCTCTGGGCCAGAAGCTAAGTGTCCCTAATGGTGATTGGCACTTTTGGGAATCGGAGGTATTGGGTGTGTGGGGTTTGGGTCCCTTAGTGACTGATGGGAGCAGGAACTCTGCTGGTCCCGCTGTGCCCCGGAGCAGCTGGCATTGCTGCATGCCCTTCGCTCACCGGCTGCTTTTGGTGCCATGCAGCCATGTGTGTTCCATGCCTGGTGTCACATTTCCAGTGGCCTTTCAAAGTGGTTCACAGGGAGCTGCTGGAGCTGCTCAGCCCAGTCTGCACGGCGAGCTGCGCTGCGACTGATGGCAGAGCGCATCTGCAGCATCGGAGGGGAAGCTTGCCTTGTAATGAGCAGTGGGACCTGAGCTGGGAGTCCCCTAATTCCCTGCCCTCCTCATCCTCTTCCACACCTCCTGTGCTTCTCTGCTCGTAGCGGGGCTGGAAGCTTCCTGGCCCTCCAGCCCTGTTATTAATCCATCTTTAGGCTTTTTCATTCGGCAGTTTAGATTGTCTCGATGTGATAAGCAGTTGCAGGAGTTGAAAGTTCTTATCTATTTCTATTGCTTTCATTATTTGTTTGTTTTTCTGGAAGGAGCAGCAGCTAGGGGACTTTCTCATTTTCTCTGCACGCTTAGTCATAGCTCCTTAAACCCAGGCTGTTTTTCACAAAAGCAGAGATATTGAGAAAATTCAAATTTCCTGTGTGGTCTCACATGGAAAAAATAGGCTTTAGATTGTAGCATATCAAAAATTTACTTTCTTGCAAAGTGTTTATCATGTTCCACTCTGGTCTCACGCTCCTGCATCTTTTCAGTCCAGAAACTTTCCTTCCAATCTCAACATTTCCCCATTGTGTCGCAGAAGAAGGCAAAAGGCTCTTGGTGCTGGGAGGTAAATGCCTGCTGCAGCCTCCAGCACTGGGTTGGAGGTTTGTTATCTTTGAGCCACAGAAGTCAGTGTTGATGTTTTCACTCTTGCTTCTGGCGTGAGCAATGCCACTGGGGCACAGGGGAGTCCTCTGCTGTGTGCAGCACATCAGGGACACAGATGTTTGTGTGTTAGGTGAGGGAACAGAGATGGGCATGTCACGTTTATCTTCTGGGAGAGGAAGCCAGAGGAGGCCCTTCCCTGTCTCAGGCTCTACGCTGGGTAGCTGAGATACCCACAATCTGGCACACACACTTCTGGCAGCGGTTGATCTTTGAGGAAAGCCCTGAC